GTGTTACAGACATAGATAGCAGATATTTGTATGCATGACCAAGTATAGAATAAGCGCCACTTAACATGTTATATCTGAATAATATATTATAGCAACAAATAGAGCAATTTTTGCAAGCAATGCAGTAAGAGGATAAAATCACATCTTTATTAGTTTCTACTTGAATATCAGTAGAATGTTCATTTTCGGTTAATTTTATAAAAGTTTCATTGACATTTTCCTTTAAAATATTCCATGATGATTTAAAATGTTGCAATTCTGAAATGATATTGTGTTGAGTAGCTACTGGATTAAACTGTATTAAAATACTGCTTAATTTTTGAAATGCATTTTCAGGAATATTTAGTAATGGTCCTGTAAATTTTGGTCTAATGTGCTTTGAACTTGCTGTAAGATGACAGTCGAACTTTCCCCGGTTGCTCTCTCTCCCACCTTCCCTGATCTAGATCGAGGATGTGTAAATTTGGTCTGGAAATGTGACAATTAAATCGTCTTACACTCGTTCCTGTTTACGAAATAAATCATCGATTTATTAGCTTTAGCTTGACAACCAGTTTCCCAATTAAAAAATTGTTAAAGTTGAAAAGTATGCGTATATTTTTTAGTTTAAGTTGTAGTAAAGCAGATATTTGTTGGCGTTTAGATTTAAATTGCTCAATAAAAATATTGCAGAAAGGAAACATTTTTTGTAGGTATTTATATGATAAATGAGAAGAAATGTTACTTTGGAAAATACATTAAAATTTATGTTTTAATTAAATATTTTTAATTAATTTTGGATACAATAAAGAACAATCAAGATTAAAGTGAAAGCAAGAACTACATATATAATAATAATAATTGCATTCTGCATTGTAATTTTTTATTTAACATTTATACCAATAATTTAAAACCTCCCATTAAAGAGGGGGTGAGGTCCCAGCCTCACACTACAAAATAGATTATTTTTAATTAAATCGTTTGGAATATAGAGAAATTATTATTGAATAACATTTTTTTACTTGCCTAAAATAAAGGAAATAATATAAGTGACCATTAAATTTGTTATGACTACAATCATTGCTTTGGTGGCTAGGTACAAAACTAATAACTTGCATTTATATAGTTTAGCATTAAGATTGATAGGAGTGGTGAACAGTTTTTAGCAATGTAAACAAATGACCAATTTTCTCTGTTTAGAAGGTAGTTTTGATTATTTTTCTCCTAGGATGCTTTCTGTTTGGGCCGAATCGGTCTAATGTAGTGTTTGACTCAGATCGGCAGAACTAATTTAACTTTGGATACAGGTAGGGCCAGGTAAAACAATACAGGCCTACACATATACCTATATTACATCTAAAAATTGAAATTTACCTTACTTAACAAAAAAAAATATATGAATTTTTTAAAAATTAAACTTAACCAAACGGTACATTATGTACAGTACATACAGGTAACCCCCGTATAACACGGCACTTCTATAGCACGGATTCGCTCTAACACGGTTCGAGAATTGGTACCATCCCCCGTATAACATGGTACTTTTATAGCACGGATTCACTCTGACACGGTTCGAGAATTGGGTAAAACCCTCGTACAACAGGAAATGTAATAAATTTTTACATACTTAACTAATAATAGTTCACGAAAATTATTATTTTCGTGAACTATTAGTACTTAAGTATGTAAATTTTCTCTTCTCGCCTTCTGTCGATACAGGTGGTCCTTCTCGAAACTTGTTTCAATGTTGCCAGATCGCGACGCTTCTGCTTCTGATGTTGCCGAATGTTTTTCCCTTATTCCATACTTGCTTTATTCTTCATAAGTGCTTAGCACCATATAAGGAAATTTATAAAGACCTTTTAACTAGAAGCAAGCAATCTAAAATTACATACATTTTGCAAAAGGTAAAGCATGGATCTGAAGATAATGCAGAAAAATGCTCAGAGGATAAGGATAACTTGCCAAAAAGAAAACGCTCTCGGTTAATTAATAGTGTTTTCAGTGATGACGAAGAAAACATTGTTTAATTTATATTAATATGTATCACTTAAAAAATTTTAATGAAGATATTTATCTTAATTATTAAAATATACTAGCATGATTTTTAATTTTTGGAACCTAACCCTCTTTTTCGTATTAGTTCTTTGTTTCGTATAACACGGATTCGCATAACACGGCAATTTTTTGGAACGTAACTACCGTGTTATACGGGGGTTACCTGTATTTAGAAAAAAACAGCCCAAATTGTATACGGCCCATGTGGAATTTTCCACATGGCCAGTCCGCCCCTGTATCTGAAAGATATTTGTTTGATAAATGAATAACAGAATTGAACAAAATCAAATATTTTTTTGTAATATACCAAACAGAATCAAAGCTTTGGAATGATGACCTGAAGATGAGAATCAGTCAAGAACATTAATAAGGAATTTTCATGTAAGGAGTTTACTTTCTTGCAGCTTAGTAGTTTATAGAGATTCCCAAAATGTACATGTTCTGTAAACCCTTGAAGGGTAGCCAAAATTGTCATCTATAGCTATTATTATACAAAATAAAAATTATATAATTGATTAAACTATCTCTGGCTTAAGTATTTAATCATTAAGTAATAACTTATAGGCTACCTGTATAGCTTCATCCTTAAGGCAATATCATATTTTTAGACACATTAAGAATCAGCAATTTAACCTTTATTAAAATATACATCATAGAAAAATTTTATAAATTATCATATGACATTTTATACATATTCTTTTGTATTTTACTTATAAACAATTTTCCCAACATATATTTTTCTTGTTATAAATCTTCAGGATATAGATTCTTCTTAAATAATTTAGAAATGATAAACTTAAATGTTATTTCAGAAGTTTTAATTAAATATTTAAAACAACAGTGTTTTCAGTTTGATCAACTAGTTTCAAACTAGTTCATTTCTTTGACAACTGTAGATGATTGAGTGCATCTGCAAACATAAATTTAAATTTAAACACTTCTTTCAAAATAAACATTATTGTTATTATTAATTATATTATATTTCAGTTATTTTTTTAAATATAAGAAAATTTTTACCTAAAAATCTTTTTATTACAGTAAATCCTTTGACCAATGACTCAAAAATGCAACATATGTGCACACACACACAAACATACACAAATGAAAAGTGAAGAAATCCTTTGTTTCTGACTGTAAGAAAAGAAATCAATTTATATTTTATAAGATGTAAATAAAACTGAATTATATTTATAGAGAACAAAATATAATTTTACAATATTTAATAACATCTAAAGGAATCTCTATATATAAAATATATCAGTTTTATTTACATCTTATAAAATATAAATTGATTTGTAATTCATTAATGTCTGTGTAAATTTTAATAATTAATAAACAAAGTAAAAACACTTAAAAATAAGTGATAAAATAAATATTTGATATTTAAATTTACCAAATAAGTGTCCCAAAGACAAATTGTACCCACCACAATGGACGTTTTCTCATTAAAAAATTATTCATCTGTCGAAATTAAAATGGTAAATATTCTACAGAATGTCAATGAAGATATTTACAAAGTGGAGCTGATAAAAATAATCAAGTATTTGATGAAATTGCCAAAAATAAAGTAAAAATATAACAAAAGAATTAATGAATATTATTTGAAATAAATATTAAAAATATATATTTTTTTAATTTAAATTGACAAAACAAGCTATTTAAATATTTAATAATACAAAATTTTTGAAATAACTACTTAATTATTCTATAAAAGGAAAAAATGTAACTCAATACAGATTCTACATGTATATGTTGTTAAATTTTGTAATTAATTTATATATACATAATGGAGAAAAAAAATAAACTTAAGTATTGGCACAAATTTTATTACACAATACACAGATATTCTTACACCACACTACTTTCGAAATATTGTAGCTGTACACTTCTGCCAGTATCTGTAACACCTGTCAAAGCATTTCTAAAAGCTACTTTTTATGACATCTTTAAGGATCTTGTTGCTACAATGCTTTTTTCTATGCTACTGATTAAAATCTACTACTCTTCGACTTTATCATCCTTTCCCCAAAATGAAAGCAGTCTTTGAGAGCAAGATCAAAGGACAAAAAAGTTGAAAAAGCATTGTTGTGCTCCTTCTCGGTTATATATTTAATAATTAACCAGAAATGACCAATGCAAACTAAATATTTTCATATTCAGTTTCCATTGGTGATGAAAGCTCTCAAAAACATCACAAAAATAGCTTTCAGAACTGCTTTGACAAGGGGTGCAAAATTTGTAGTAGTAGAAGTTTGTAGGGCAAAAGATACTTACTTTGAAAGTAGTTTTCTATAAATATCTGTCTTATTAATGCAATAAAAGTTATTTTAATCATCTGAGATATTAAACATCAAGAAAATAAAGTCATATTTTTATTTATTTTGTTATGACATTCATTATCTTGAAATGTTATTGAAAAATATATCTGTTATTAAATACAATTCCTCAAAGAACAAATTTATCAAATGGATTATATTTATAATAATTATGCAATAATTATTATGCTAGGTAAAGTTACATTGCAGAATCACAAATATTGCTTTAACTATTTAAAATAAAAGATGTTTGTCATAACAGCTTCAAAAACAATATTTTTATACTTTAATGAAAATCCCATTTAATTTCTATATTCAACTTCCATTTATTAATTATTTGACAATTATAATTCTTGAAGTTGTAGCTTTGTCTTATTGGTTTCAGCTGGTTTCATATTGGTTATTTTTGAAACAAAATTATTTGTGCTGCATCAACCAGAATTTATAACACTGTCTTGATATGCATATAAATTAAAACTACAAGCACATTAAAATCACAGTAAGCACAGGCAAATTATATTTTTTTCTCAGAAAATTTAGATTTACTGATTTAGATTTTGTCAGATAAAGTTACAAAAATGTAATCAATAACAATTCAAACTATTTAATCAAAAAATGATTCATATACTGTATTCTGAACATTGTAATAAATATTTTCTTAAAAATATAAATGAGCCAAAGACTAATAGAACTTGTGAAATATATTTTTTATAAATTGGATTATTAAATATCACTGAAAAATTGGAATCTTAAAGTTTTAGCATTTTATAGTTTTTTCATGTTAATTAAAGGAATGCAATTTGATAAGGAATAAGACTTATGCTGTTTGAACTTCCTAATTTTATGATTGAAAAGTTAAACTAACAATTAAATATTAAAAACAACACATTTATATTTATTTATAATCATTTATATCCAGCAATAAGAGGAATAAAAACATCCAGAAGGACCCATATCTGGAAGTGAATGGTTTCTGTGAAAAATGTACTTTGATGGATATAAAGTGATCCTTTTCACAGATCATTAAACTTTGTAGAAGATAATGAGCTATGTATGGGGATGGACAAAAGATGTGGTGTACCAAGAGATGGTACATTCCTGTAGTCATTTGGATGTTGAGCATAAACTTTTTCACATATTTTCCCTTTTGTTATTCTACTTGAAATGAATAATAAAGTATATATTCTAGTATAACTACTTTCTTTATATAAAAGCATTAAAGTATATTAAAATAAAAGACTGATAATTTTAACTGTTTTTGTTACATTTCATTTTTAATGCATATAGTATTTCAAAAAAATATTTTTTATGAATGAAAAATTCATTTTTGCAGCATTGTCTAATTTATATGAAGAACAGGGTAAACCAGAAGATCCTTTAATGTAATGTTTCTAAAAACTTTTTCATTTATAATATCAAAGTCAGATGATAAATATATATTGGTTAACATTAACATGCTAAATAATAGTAAATACAAATAACCAGATTGTATAATATAAATAAAATGATCCCAAACTATAAAAAGTTTCCTTTTTGATATTTAAGTTTAAATTTAAAGTGTAAAAACTAATACATAAAAATAAAATATATTTAGCATGTCTATTATAAATGTATATTATTTTATTTATTATTAATTAATTAATTATTATTTATTATTATTCAAAAATGCATAAAGACATTATTTTATAATGTTTTTATGCATTTTTCAACTCAAGTTTGTATTTGCAAGTATTAAAGATTTATTAAATAAATTATATTTCAGTAAAAAACATTATTGAACCTAATTATGTTTCTATTGGATTTATATTAACAGTTATTTTTTTGCCATAGATATATTAAACAGCAGTTGGGAATTAATGATTCTAATAATATGGAATCACTAAAACAGCAGCTTATTCAAGCAAAACAGAAATTGGAAGAATTAAAAAAAGAAAACAGTGATCTTCTTGTAAAAGTATGTGTAGATATTGAATAATTTAATTTTCTGTAGACTACTAAACTCATAACACTGCTTACAAATGTAAAAAGAAGTTTCAATTACTTTTATCAACTTGAACATATTATTATTTTATTAAATTACTGTATTATTAATTTCTTTAGTTTTTTTAATACATTAAACAGTATGAAAATAAAATAGATGAAAATAAAGTGGAAGGTTAAATTGAATGATCCAGCAAGAGTTTTTAATTTATTATTTATTTATTTATTTATTTAAAAAGAATTTCATTTCAATTTCAAAACCTCTTAGAGAACCTTCTTAAATAAATCTTCAGTAACTTGTCACATTTAGAATGAGTAATGTTTTCAATCCTCCATCTGGATCTTCATCAGGTCAACCGTTCTAGAATCAGAATGCTTGGAACATCATCACTAATTCTGTTCATTTATCAAATGTTTATCCAGCTTTAAATCTGATGCGTGACATAGTTATCATGAGATATGGTACTAATTTTCCAGATTATTTCAGATGGATCTAATCAGAATTTATCTAAAGGTGAGATTTATTTAAGGTTTTCTAAGATGTTTTGAATTATATTTCCACTCCAGTCTGAGGAATTGTGAGTAGAACATGTAATTGATCAGACAGGTCATTGTTGTTGATTGTTGCTTTAATTTTGCTATTTGTGTATGTTGACTCAAAGATACTATACTTAAATTTATTTAAATTGTAATCATTTAGAGAATAAAGTTGGGTATACTGAACAGGAAGACTTGTGTGTGACTTTTAGAATACTAGAAATGAAGTTTTGACAGTATTTTCAGGAAGATGAGTCAAACATTACTCATTTTAAAACATAATTAAAACCTTTTAAACATGTTTAAATATTTTCGATTCATTAAAAACGGTAGCATAACTGTTTAACCATATATAGAAAATGTGTAGGGTTATTTGAGGCACAAGACCAAAGTTTTAAATTCTTTATGTCTATTGAAAAAGATAATTTACTTAAAAAAAAAAGCCAGCTTAAAAATTTTTATAAATCAAAACTTCTTATACAATTTATATCGCTCAACAATAGAAAATAACTGAACTGTGTGAATAAAAACAAAAGAGTTTCCTGAATTGTCTACGCAAGTAGAAAAACCTAAACATTATAATGAGCACGACCGGAAAAAGTTTATTTTTAATGATTCACAATGTGAAAATATTCATTAAAAATACGAATTTAAGAAATATGAAATAACTACATTTATAATCATTGCTAAGTGACCAGCTATTTTCGGACAATCTCTTTGAAAGCGACATTCCTCTTAATGAATTTAATTATTAATATAAAGTTACAAAAATGTAATCAATAACAATTCAAACTATTTAATCAAAAAATGATTCATATACTGTATTCTGAACATTGTAATAAATATTTTCTTAAAAATATAAATGAGCCAAAGACTAATAGAACTTGTGAAATATATTTTTTATAAATTGGATTATTAAATATCACTGAAAAATTGGAATCTTAAAGTTTTAGCATTTTATAGTTTTTTCATGTTAATTAAAGGAATGCAATTTGATAAGGAATAAGACTTATGCTGTTTGAACTTCCTAATTTTATGATTGAAAAGTTAAACTAACAATTAAATATTAAAAACAACACATTTATATTTATTTATAATCATTTATATCCAGCAATAAGAGGAATAAAAACATCCAGAAGGACCCATATCTGGAAGTGAATGGTTTCTGTGAAAAATGTACTTTGATGGATATAAAGTGATCCTTTTCACAGATCATTAAACTTTGTAGAAGATAATGAGCTATGTATGGGGATGGACAAAAGATGTGGTGTACCAAGAGATGGTACATTCCTGTAGTCATTTGGATGTTGAGCATAAACTTTTTCACATATTTTCCCTTTTGTTATTCTACTTGAAATGAATAATAAAGTATATATTCTAGTATAACTACTTTCTTTATATAAAAGCATTAAAGTATATTAAAATAAAAGACTGATAATTTTAACTGTTTTTGTTACATTTCATTTTTAATGCATATAGTATTTCAAAAAAATATTTTTTATGAATGAAAAATTCATTTTTGCAGCATTGTCTAATTTATATGAAGAACAGGGTAAACCAGAAGATCCTTTAATGTAATGTTTCTAAAAACTTTTTCATTTATAATATCAAAGTCAGATGATAAATATATATTGGTTAACATTAACATGCTAAATAATAGTAAATACAAATAACCAGATTGTATAATATAAATAAAATGATCCCAAACTATAAAAAGTTTCCTTTTTGATATTTAAGTTTAAATTTAAAGTGTAAAAACTAATACATAAAAATAAAATATATTTAGCATGTCTATTATAAATGTATATTATTTTATTTATTATTAATTAATTAATTATTATTTATTATTATTCAAAAATGCATAAAGACATTATTTTATAATGTTTTTATGCATTTTTCAACTCAAGTTTGTATTTGCAAGTATTAAAGATTTATTAAATAAATTATATTTCAGTAAAAAACATTATTGAACCTAATTATGTTTCTATTGGATTTATATTAACAGTTATTTTTTTGCCATAGATATATTAAACAGCAGTTGGGAATTAATGATTCTAATAATATGGAATCACTAAAACAGCAGCTTATTCAAGCAAAACAGAAATTGGAAGAATTAAAAAAAGAAAACAGTGATCTTCTTGTAAAAGTATGTGTAGATATTGAATAATTTAATTTTCTGTAGACTACTAAACTCATAACACTGCTTACAAATGTAAAAAGAAGTTTCAATTACTTTTATCAACTTGAACATATTATTATTTTATTAAATTACTGTATTATTAATTTCTTTAGTTTTTTTAATACATTAAACAGTATGAAAATAAAATAGATGAAAATAAAGTGGAAGGTTAAATTGAATGATCCAGCAAGAGTTTTTAATTTATTATTTATTTATTTATTTATTTAAAAAGAATTTCATTTCAATTTCAAAACCTCTTAGAGAACCTTCTTAAATAAATCTTCAGTAACTTGTCACATTTAGAATGAGTAATGTTTTCAATCCTCCATCTGGATCTTCATCAGGTCAACCGTTCTAGAATCAGAATGCTTGGAACATCATCACTAATTCTGTTCATTTATCAAATGTTTATCCAGCTTTAAATCTGATGCGTGACATAGTTATCATGAGATATGGTACTAATTTTCCAGATTATTTCAGATGGATCTAATCAGAATTTATCTAAAGGTGAGATTTATTTAAGGTTTTCTAAGATGTTTTGAATTATATTTCCACTCCAGTCTGAGGAATTGTGAGTAGAACATGTAATTGATCAGACAGGTCATTGTTGTTGATTGTTGCTTTAATTTTGCTATTTGTGTATGTTGACTCAAAGATACTATACTTAAATTTATTTAAATTGTAATCNCACAACAATACAAAGTTTAGGCTAATTGATCAACATTTCCAATTTCAGTAAGTTGACATCATTCAGCCAATCAGTGCGTATTGCAATCTGGATATTTAGTCACACATTTTACCAAATATGTAGGTTTTTAATTGTTTAAAAATGATTGCTTTAACTAAAATTAATGCTGTCAGTCTTAAACAGGATATTCTGTGTACTCTCTACAAGCAAGAGAATAATCAGTTTCATATATTGCTAATTTCACTTGATAGTGATAAATATTTTAAAGGGATTTCTTATTTTATTAGTAAGTTATTTTATATACTCAACTATTTACTTATACCAAATTCAAATCCACGTTTATATGAACACGTTTGTTTACACAATATTTATTGTCTTTTATCTTTAATCACTAACAAATTTTGTCTACAAAAATGTTGATGTCTGAGTCTTTCATCACTTATTTGAAATACGTAATTACATTGCCTTACATTCTCTCGTATCTGTTTACTAAAATTGAATTTGAAATAAAATAATCCATTTTCCAATTGTTTACATGCTTTTTTTTTCTGAGGAATTCCAAGTAAATTATTGATGGGTAATGTTAAACGAATTTCTTCTTATAAAGAAAAATAGGGACAAAGCTCTAAATGGTGCCCCTTTTTGCCTACCAGATAGATTAAAGATCTGTGTATCTGCCAGAATATTTTGTGTTATGCTAATTTTAGGTTCTTTTTAAACCGCAATCTCGCTTAAAAATTTGTGATGTTTGAATTGTTTTATATCACAAATTTTTTAATTTATAAATCTTTAGTTTAAAATATCATCAAGGTGTAAAAAATTTATTAAATGTTATATTTTAGACCAAAAAGTAATGATATTATGAAAAATCTAATTAATTTGCTATATTTATTACTTAGATATATGTATGTATTTTGTTTCCTTTAAAAACACTTGTTTGTTTAAACGTAAATAACTTAAATGAGATTTGTTAACATTGTTACTTTTTGTTTCCTATTTTGTAGATAAATCAACAAAATTGAATAAAATTTGGAACATTACAGTCAGCTCTGAACAGCAAATAATGTGTACAAAAACATATAAAATTAAAAGAAATTTACTTTTATTAACAAATAATTATTAAAAAATTAAAAGTTTAATATGAATACTTTTCACATCGTGGAATTCTTATGAAAGTTATTGCTATTTTGTTGCTTTAAAGCAAACTTTAAATGAAATACATAATTTTACATTAGTTAAATACCTGAACAATCAACGATTAAAGTAATATTTATAATTTATACATAGAATAGCAATGAACAGCAAATAATGTGTACAAAAACATATAAAATTAAAAGAAATTTACTTTTATTAACAAACAATTATTAAAAAATTAAAAGTTTAATATGAATACTTTTCACATCGTGGAATTCTTATGAAAGTTATTGCTATTTTGTTGCTTTAAAGCAAACTTTAAATGAAATACATAATTTTACATTAGTTAAATACCTGAACAATCAACGATTAAAGTAATATTTATAATTTATACATAGTTTAATGTTAAATCATCATACATTACTGATTATACATTACAGTATGAATACTGTAATGTATAATCAGTAATGTATGATTTAAAACTAGGTTTTAAATCATCATACATTGAATGCATACATTCTTTACAAAGAAAAGTCTGGAAGCCGGATGACCCACCAACGCTTGCAAAATCTTTGATGATTTAAAACTGAGTCTCTATTTTTACTGAATGACATCAGTAATGCACATTATAGTTCCATTGCTTAATTTAGAGCTTGTGACGTCAAAGAGATGAATTATGCTATTAGATTTACAACAATTACTTATTTAAATTATTCATAACATTACACAATCTTCACTATGCAAACAAATACAAAAATTTACACAGGAAGAATAAAATATTAAAAATTCAAATACAAATCATAGGACATCATAAATTGCTTGGCAGGTTGCAATACTTTCCAAAATTAATTCTGATCATGCATATCATTATCTTGAAGTGATTCTACATCTTTTTGTATAAATGTAACAGTGAGAAAGTAACATTGGAGATTTTTTTATAGCTTGATCCCATTTTAAATATCACATAACATAACATATTTAAATGCTGATAATATTGAGGGAAATAACTAGCAAATCCCATAAAAATCTAAGGAAGATACTCTCTCTATTTTATCTGAAATTTTTTCATCTATTTCTGTTATTTTTGATATATCTGAGTCTGATTGAACTTGGTTAGATGGGTTTTCTTCTAAAGCTTCTGAAACATAAAATTTCTTGCTTAGCAGAAATTAGGACCAAAACTGTAAGAGAAA